CAAAAGGGAACTCCACGAAGAGAAAATGAAGAATGACCGTCCATGGAATATATCCAAGGGAACTTCCTGAATCACCATTAGAAATAGTACAGGATGTTTCTCAATCAAGTAACGACAAGTACAAACTCAACCCCTAACATATTCGATCACAAAATTAAGAAATTTAATCAGGAAAAGAATCTAATTAATTTCTTGAAATTTTAGATACAGATTGAAGAAAATTATCTTAAGGTCACAGCATTGCATTTATAGAAGGGACACAAGACAGCAGATAAACCTGCAAGATATCTCAGGTTAAGCCTAGACATTCTTGTTCTTCTTCATCTTAGAAGGTGGCCATCGCCCTTTCTTCCTTAGGTGGCGCTTCCTAACGAGTCTCTTCCTTCGTAGTCTGATCTTCTTTGCCAATTTCATTTTCATCTTTTGATCAACCTTTTGCTGAAGCTTAGACTCCAGGGGCAGATTCTCAACAGGCACACTTTCTTCATTGTTCTCTGGTGCCGGTTCAGGATTATCAGAACCCACACTATCAATGTCCGCAGCTGCCTTAGCAATCAATGCACCTCTCTTGTTGAAGATAAGAGGTGCTTGAATATGGGAATTGGCAGATAACTTCGGTTTCAGAGTAACGTGACTGTTGCACAACCTGGAGGCTAATACAGAATAGATTACGATGTTCAAAAAACTTTAGAGTGGGTCACATGAACAACCAAAAGAACAATCTAGCATACTTTCTTTTTCTTCTTTTTCCCCTTTCTGATTTCCAAGAATCCACCATAAATCAGAAAAAACGTGCCCCCCATTTTCTCATAGATATAGATTTCCCATCAGTCGCCTAACTTTGGTTTGAAATTTACTACTGTATCTATTTAGTGTAAACTCATGTATACGGAAGATATCCTAGTTTGGAATAGTCAAGTGATGTATGTGCACAGAAAAGAATACTAATCTTGATGGAATGCCTGGAATCACATAATAGGCGCCATTAGCTTCAAATTGAGATGGACAGTTTGAATCCAATATAATGCGAAATGTAAGCCCTGACACCCCACCCCCAAAAAAGAAAAAAACTACTATTCCTAATCTGAAATTTGTTTAATTCAGCTACATGAATCCTCTATATCCATTTGTGCTACTCACATTCATTTGCATAGAATATTCACTCTATCCCAAGTTATGTGACACTATTTCATTTTTAATCTGCCCCATGATGAATAAAACAATTTAACTTTAATTTCGCATTTTATCCTTAATGAGATGATTTATAGCTACAAAAATACCTATGGATTGTTTTAGACCACAAATTTCAAAATTCTTTCTTAAACTCCATTTTCAGTCAAACACACTCACATAAATTGGGACCGAGGGAGTAAAGATTTTGTCTTATAAGTCAAATTAGGGGTTCTTTGTAAACGGGGATAACAAAAGCCTAAGACATTTGCCTTTTTTGGCAACCAAACAAGCAAAAAGGATACTCTTCCCAAATTGCATAGTACATAGCAAGGAAACAACTAAGGGGACAAAAAGCTGAAGAAATAAGAAAAACCCAAAACCCAGCACGAAAACCTAATTCAAAATATCTAGAAAAAGAAAAAGAAAAGAAAATGCGATCAACAACATGTATCGAGTATTCAAAGCACAACGCAGTCAACTATAATGAATTAAGAAAATCTTCTTCTTCTTTTTTTGTTTGTTTGGAGAATGGTATATATTAATGAAATAAGAAAAATTCAAGCAGCTGCAAAACAAAAGAGGAATTCAAGCAAGAATCCAAAATCCCTTTAACAAGGTCACAAGAAATAGCCCGAAATTAAAAAATAATACAGTTGCAGAGTATTCATTGGAGAATGTTATTAAGCAATATAATACTTACATGGGAATGCAGAAGTAAAGGAAGAATGAGAGGAGAGAGGAACAGAGGGAGCAGGGGTGAAGATAAGGAGAGACATTTCCCCTGCTGTTTTGAGATTGTTTTTTCGGATAAGCTTATTCTACAGCAATATATATATATGAACACTGGGTTTTATTTGGCAATTTTACCACTTCCCTTTTAAATTTTTATTTTACATTGCGCAAAGGGAATGGGACAATCTTTTTTTTTTTTTCTTTTACTGCTTGGTCTTGGGAGGATTATGTAGAAGCAAATGTTACTTTGTTTTTTACATGATATTAGTGATAGTGGAAATAAATATTGAAAAATAATACTACTAGATAATATTGGTCAAATACAAAATTGAATAATCGGTCGAAATTAATTACATTCCCTAGCCAAAAAAGCATAAATATGCATTATATATGTGTATTATATATATATATATATTGATCCTATTCAAGACCACCGAAAAGTAATATTCATTAATTGAATTTTAAGGCTAAAGACCTATCATCTCTATGGGATTAAATCCCAAGTTATTGCGAAGTAAAAAATCGATCAGATTATTGAAGTAAATATTCTTGCATTTATTGCTACTGCACTATTTATTCTAGCTTCTACCGCTTTTCTACTTATCATTTAGTAAAAACAGTCAGTCAAAACGATTAATTATTAACTAATTTGAATGAAACTTGACTTCTGAGTTCTTAGCCAAAATTGACGAAAAAAAATAAAAAAGATTCTAGTTTCTTGTCTTAAATAGATAGTACGGTAGAAAGAAAGATTCATTTATTTCATTGTACCATATTATCTTGATATATGTGAATATCAATTCTATATATGGGATTGATATAGCATTCAATTCTATTTATTTGTTATATCTATTTGTTCTTATGTCTTAAGTTTGAATTACTAGATTTTTTATTTTCAATCTGAATCACGGTATCTATTGAAAGAATCAAATCAATGCAGGAAAAGCGATAGATATAGGCAGATTCAAAAAATCACGTAGTAACCTTTTTTTTTAACATTCCCAAGAAGCAATTGAGTGAACAAAGAAAAATATTATCAAGACGAGTGAATAGATTGACCTTGAAACAATAACGATTAATTACTCTTGCTATAAAACAAACTCGTATTTTATCTTGGTTACCCTTTCTCAATACTGAAAAACAATTTGAAAGAATCGAGTCGGCCGCTAGAACTACTGGTTTTAAAGCTCGAAATAAATAAGCTTACTTTTTCTTCACTTGAATCATATTACAAGAATCTAGATTTGAGTATCATGTCGTAGGAAAAAATAAATTAGAAAAAAGATTTCTTTTTTTTTTATTGAATTGAACGTGTTCATTCATTTTAACTACTTTAGCATATTTTCTCATACTAATTTCTGCT